GAGGTGGGTCTTCTTGACTCCGTCCTGTGGACGTGTTTGCCCCCCAGGCTGGAGTTTCTCTCAGCCTCGTTCAGTGTTCATTGCGTGTTTTAATTTCTTTAATTTCAGAACTCAAAAGCTGTCAAAGGTACTTCTGCATTCTCTGCATTGTTTTTTCCGTTATTTTCACCTCACAGACTTTGATTTCCTCCCTGCATTTACACGTCTTTTCTGTTTTCTCTCTCATCTCCCCACTCCCATCATGCTGCCCTCCTCATAGCTGTTGTTCCTGAGAGGCGGGGTGTATAGCGCAGTTGTAAGTACTCACCGCGCAGCATGGCCCTCTGGCACGCACTCTGTGGCGCCCCGAGACCTCCTGTTTCATGTACGGCTGTCTCTGTCTGTGCCCCGATGCTCTCTGTGTCGGCTGCAGGGTTTGGGGGGAAAGTGTGAGACGCGGTGTGAGCAGTCTTTACCGAGCAGCTCGCCACACACACTCTGGGCCTGGCTTAGCAATATGACCACGACGAGGCACCTCCCCGGGTGGTTGGACGTAACACAGGGAGTACTGAGTTTACCTGCATTATTATCTGGCCCCTTACGGCGATTGTGGTGAACAGCCACGCAGTGCCTAAAAGCGGGCCTCACTCAGGTCCAGGTGCTCCGAGGTCCCGCTGCGTGCACATTCCAGGGCGTGGGTGAGAGGGGTAGGTCCTGACTTCTGGAACCTTGTGACACGGTGACAGCAGCCTCTCCCCCGAGAGCTTGGTGGGGACCAAACGGACACGTGGGGAGTGCACAGCGCAGGCTGGCGCCTTGTAGCACTCATAGTGGGCACGCTTGTGTTCCTGAGAACTCTGGGGCCTGTGCTCACACGGGGAGGAGGAGTCAGCTCCTCGTTGGGGCTGACATTGTCATCAGTGGGGAGTCGGGCCACGTGCTTGCTACTCCTTCACTGGAGCCGGCAGGGGTCCTCCTCACCGCGCCGCTGTGCACACTTTCTCACGGGTTCCCACTTCATGCAAAACTGCCCAAATGCCCCCACCCCCAGTGGCTGCCCAGCGTGACCTCCTACACACACCCCCGTCCCCAGATGTCTGCCTCCTGGCCTGTGGGCTCCCAGACAGCCTCCGCCGCGTTCGTCTCTGAGTCAAAGGGTCCCATCCCCACTGTGTCTCACAGAGCCAGCCAGCACCTAGCTGGCAAAGTGCCACCGACTCCAGGCAGTCCACCCATCGGGGCTGCTGGCTCAAAGGAGCAGGGGCTGGGAGCCAGCGGGGGGTGTGTGTTGAGGGCAGGAGGCCTGGGCTGCCCCCGAGGGCCATGGGGGAATAGCTGGCACTAGGCAACACCCGGAGGGGACACAGGGCCAGAGGCCAGGCGTCTGGACCCCATTTGAGTGTGGGGAGCACGCATGCATCCAGAAATTGGATCCCACAGGGAGGAGTACAGACACTACAAGCAGGGGTGGGGCATGTGGGGGCCTCCAGCAGGAAAGAGGGTGGGCTTGACGAGGGGGAGGACAGCAGCTGGTCCCCGAGTCGGGTGCATTCCAAGGGGCCAGATACAGAGGTACTGGGGCTGGGAGCGGCCAGGCCGGGTGGCTAAAAGGAGGCTGTTGTGTGAGGCGTGGTGTTAGCGCCAGGCCCGTGGAAGTGCTCTCCTCTTTGTGTGTCTGTTTGGGGAGCGCTGTACTAGGCTAACAGCTCTGCGAAGCACCGTGGAGGGGAGATGCCAGCCTGGGTTAGTGCTCGGGACCCTACCTGCAGGAGTGCTGCACCTTCCTTCCAGTACCTCACGGGCCCCAACGCGCCTCTGCCTGGATGATATACAGAAACCTGGTGCCCTTGAGCTGACCCTGACTTACGGCAACCCTGTGTGTGGCAGAGTAGGGCTGAGTTTTCAGAAGTAGATCACCAGGCCTTTCTTCTGAGGCACTTCTGGGTGAACTCAAACGTCCCACCGCTCGGTTAGCAGCCGAGTGCATCAAGCATTCCATCGCCCAGTGACTCCTGCTGGTCGTAAACGTGACCGTTGCTGGTCGTCCACAGAGGCCCCCTCTGCACGTGGTTTCTCACTCAGCCCTCGAAGGCCTGAGCTGGCGGTGATTGCAGCTGCCGCGTAAAGATCGAGTTCATACGAGGACACAGTTGTCTGTCCTGCTGTCTGAACTCCCAGCCCCAAACTCTGACGAGTTCCCGTGACCCCAAAGATTCCCACTGCTTTTGGCGGGACTGGTGTCCATGTGTGCCTGCCAGTGGGAACTTGTCCCCTAATCAGCATGGATCAGAGGAGGGGACGGGGTGCGGGTGGTGGCGTTGGGTGTGAGCTGACAGGTGAAGGGTGCTGTTTGTCGCTCAGCCCGGGGAAGCAGACCAAGAGGACCAAGCAGACACTGGGCATCACGGGATCCCCCAGATGGTGGGCAGGAGGCCCCTGCGGGACTTCATGGGGCTGGAGGATGGCGACCGGGCCACACGGGACGCCATGCTCAACTTCAGCTTCTTCGTCACCGTCGGGGACATGGATGAGGCCTTCAAGTCCATCAAGCTCATCAAGAGGTAAGGCGTGGATGCTCTCCGCATTCCTTACCGCCGGGGCGTCTCTTCCCCTTGAGTTAGACGCTGAAGTTGCTCAGTCCTCTGTGACTGTGTCAGGGTGGCTCGTGGTCTTTACTCGGTCCTCTGTGACTGACTGTGTCAGGGTGGCTCGTGGTCTTTACTCGGTCCTCTGTGACTGTGTCAGCCTTGTGGTCTCCGCACGCTGTACCACCTGCCCCAACTGGCGGCTGCCAGGCCTTGCTGGTCCGTCCTGCAGGTGAGCCATGGTGGCAGGCAGCCACACTTGGGTCCTCTTGGGGTCTTTATTTATTTAACCATTTCAATTTATTTTAAACTGTTCTGGATACTTCCTGGTTGAAAGTTCAGAGGTTGCTAAACATTGATGATACTTGTCCCCTGGGAACCGTTTCTGCTGAGCAGAAAAGCTCTCGATAAACAAACTCTGGTGACCACAGAGTGGAAACACAATGAAAACGGCTCCAGAAGAGCCATGAGCCCAGGGCTGTCTGCGGCCCTTCGTCCCGGTCCTGGGAGAACACAGGCAGGAGTTCCTCACGGGCAAGGGACGCGTTTCCACTTCCAAAGGGCAGAGAAGTGTAACCAAAACGGGGAGGGGGGTGAGTAATCAAGTGCCTGGGGCCATGCGCCCTCACCCTGCGGGGATGGTTTCTGCAGCACGGAAAACAAACACTAAACCCACTGCCGTGGAGTCAGTTCCGACTCAGAGCGACCCCGCAGGACAGAGGAGAACCGCCCCACGGGGTTTCCAAGGAGCGGCTGCTGGATTCGAACTGCCGACCTTTTGGTTAGCAGCCGAGCTCTTAACCACTGCACCACCATGGCGCAGAAAGCACCCCTCCAAACAACACGGGACCCCAGCCTGTTGTCTTTCTAGAACATTCTCTACGGGGCCCTGTAGACGAGGGGCCCTCGGGTTTGGGGGTGGGCCGGGGGCTTCATGGCAGGGCACGGTCCTTCTCCGCACACATTCCAGCTGATGTAAACGTGACCACACACTGACCAACCACATGGCCAACAGCTGAGACAGTCATATCTGTGATAAAAGCAGGAACAGTACAGTGTCTTAAATATTTCACTCATGTTTTTGAAAGTTATTGTTAACGTCTGACTGGGAAAGTCCATCCCAGGAATGCAGTTCGGTAGAGGAGGGCATCCGTGTGTGCTCATCCGCGTGGCATGTGCCCGTCCCCGCGGCGTGCGCCCGTCCCCGCGGCGTGCGCCCAGCCGCATACCGTGTGAGGCCTCACCCTGGGTGTTTCCACACTGCGTGCCGGGTCTGTGGGAGCCGGCCTGTCCACGTGCGGTCATGTCGCTGTCCAGGGCTGGTGGAGAATGCCAGCCCCCGCTCACCATTGTCTAACACTGCACCACTGGAGCAGCCTGGGTTCCAAGTCCAGACTGAAAGAGAGGGCAGCCTGGGCCGGAGGAGGGGGCTAGAGGGGCCAGCCTCAGCCCCCCGGCTCCCAAGGCCATCTCCTCACCTCATGCCTCTGGGTGGCAGTGGGGTCGACCGTACAGTGTGGGGGTGGCATCCGGGCTGGACCAAGGGCTGCTGGGCGCTGGGCCCTTGGGGCAGTATTGAACCCTGTGGTGTAGATCTAGGGGTGTTCTCTTCAACCTGGGGCACTATGGTTGATCCACCTTGTAGAGGGTTAGGGTTCCTGCGTGGTGTCAACAGTTAACACACTCGGCTGCTAACGGAAAGGCTGGCAGTTCAAACCCACCCAGAGGTACCTTGAAAGACAGGCCTGGCGATCTGCTTCTGAAAGGTCATGGCCTTGCAAACCCTGTGGAGCGGTTCTACTCTGCACATGTGGGGTCGCCGTGAGCTGGAATTGACTCGACAGCGACTCCCACCGACAGTGACTAGCTTAGGCGGAGTCCCTGGGTGGTGCAAACGGTTAACGTGCTTGGCTGCGAAAGGCTGGAGGGTCCAGTCCACCCAGAGGTGCCTCGGAAGAAAGGCCTGGTGACGTACTTCTGAAAAACCTCAGCCATGGAAACGCTATGGGGCAGGGTTCTACTCTAACACACGTAGGGTCGCCGTGAGTCGGAGTTGACCCGACGGTGAGTGAACTATAGTCCAGGAGGAGGGCTGCTTAGTGCAGCGGCACCAAGGCCTTTTGTAGCCACAGGGAACCAGGCGGGAGGTGGCTGGGGATTCTTCTGGGGAAGAGTGAGCCAATCTCTCTGGACTTTTTTAAGCCAGGAGATTTGGTCCAAACTGTCCCTCTGCGGCTGCCCACCTGTCCCCAGACCTCAGAGAGCCTATTGGGGTGGGGGTGGGCTCCTGAGCACAGGTCACCGGGGATAGGAACAAGGGCGCGAGTGCCCCACGTGCTCCAGCCGGCCTCGCCGCCGCCTGTCCCAGTCTTGTCTTACTCGCAGTCTGCAAAAACGGCAGGAAAACAGGCCTGATTCCTCTCACCCCCGTGGCGGAAGGACAGAGGGACAAGACACATGTTCAAAAGGACAGTGGTGAGAGGTCTGCGCTTTATTTTAACTTAGAAAAATAACCAGGAGCGAAATGTACACCGCAGAACGGCTCTGCCAGAAACCACAGCTCTCGGGGTGGGAGTCCGGATGCTTCTGGAGCATCTCCCTGGGCGTTCCATGCCACCAACGTAGCCTTCCACCAGCGATGCCCCTCTCTGCAGGCGCGGAATAAATTAAACCCTAGCCAGGTGGGGCGGGCGGCCCCTCACCTGCACCCCGGTTCTCATCCTGCCCGTGGGACGCGTGTGAATGTGAAGCGATGGTGGCGGCAGCGTGACACTTTGTCAGCAGTGGAGCACGCAGAGACTTCCGCGTGCATACCCTATACATACCACATATAACACAGTGACGTACACGAGTGTCCAACACACCTGCGCACAGGGGACCCTTACCCCTGCCCATCTGCACAGCAGTGAGGCAGGCTCTGCAGGCCCCCGTCTCCAGACAGCCCCACTGTTAACAGTGGACACTCGTCAGCAGGGGCTTTCAACAGGGGGACTCCACATAGTCGTTGTCCATCCCGCGGCGGAAGCGGGCTGCGAGGGAGCGGCGGATGACGATGACGCGGGGTGCCATGCAGTCCTCCCTGCGGTGCAGAATGTTCCAGATGAGGACAGCGGCTGCCAGGGTGGCCAGGAGGCAGGCGCCAATGTTCAGGTAGCAAGACCAGGACAGGCTGGTATAGGAGCCGATCCTGTAGAAGGTCACCAGCCCGATGACCAGGACAAAGCCTGCAGGAGAGAGAGGGCTGGTCAGAGATGAGGAGATGGACCTCGGGGCACTGGTCCCCCACACCTCCACCCTGGGGCATCTCCCTCAGGCTGAGAGGCCTTCGTCATGCCTTTGTTGGGTCCCCTGGCCTGCGGTGGTGCTGGAGGGGGTGCCTGCACACGAGCCTGTGTCTCAGCAGAATGCCGGTCCCCCCCGCGGAATTGCTCCTGGTGGCCGTGAGTGGTCGGGTGGCCTTTCCGCATCAGCCACGCCGGCGCCCGCCACGCCGAAACCTTTGACAGCTCGACAGCTCGCGACCCCCTCGAGGTTTCATAAATAACTCAAAGTGGAAGCCCACACAGGTGTTTTAATGTTGTATCAGAAACAGCTCAGATTTGCGTTTAACTGAGCGCAGATTCCTGTTCAGAGGAGTGTTCTCGTTCTTTGCTTTTGCTTTTTAGAGGAAATAGAGGTTTTCTTTCACAAATCCAGACAGCCCAGCTTCAGTGTGCTTAGGGAAAAGGGTGGGGTCGCGGCCCCCTGGGGGCAAGCTTCCGTCCAGTCTGGCGTGGGACTTGAGAGGGCAGTGGGATGGGGCCAGCTCTGGGGTGGGGTCCCGAACAGCCGAGGGGCAGACCGTGGGGACACAGACCGCGTGGCCCCCAGAGCACACTCAGACATGGGCTCAGCCGTGCAGGAGGGGCAGTGACACCGGCCGCTCCCAGGAAGGCCCTGTGACTTGGTCCCAGTGAGGAAGCAGGCAGGAAGGAAGCGCGAGCGAACGTGGCGTCTCTGCAGGCTGAACCGCCGTGCCTGCCGCTGCGGCCGCTCCCAGGAAGAATCTGTTTGCTTTGGAAACGGGAGCTGCTGAGCCAGGACCCACGCCGTGAGCAGACGCTGGTGTGTCTGCAGGCACGGGGGCAGGGTGCCCCGGAACCCAGAGCGGGCGGAGGGCCCACGGCTTTAGGAAACTGGGGGCCTGGCCAGGCTCTCTCCCCTGCAGGACAGCGCCCACTGTGGGGCAGGGGCGCCTGGGGGAGCCTCCCTCAGGGAGCACTCACACTCGTTTGAGCAGAGAGCCCAGAGCCTGTGCCTGGAGCACCCAGGGAATGTTCTGGAACTGAACTGACGACTCCTGTGTGGGTGCCATCCACAGGGCTTAGGGAAGATCAGTGTGTAACCCTAGTGAGCGTTCGTGAGGCCGCCACCCGGCCTCAGTGGCCCCTGCGGTGCAGGCACAGGGAGATGGCACTCGCCCAGGCCTCACGGCCGAGCCTCTCCAGCACACATACACTGGCGCTCTGATGTTCTCTTATCCCCAGAGTCTGCATCAAACCAGCCCGGAGCCCCCTCTCCTGGGCGTTTCCCTGAGGCCCCTCCGTGCTGCGCCACCACGAGGGGACGAGGCCGCAAGGAGGGGATGCAGGAGGAGAAAGGAAGGAGAGTCTCCAGAGGACTAGATGGGAGCCTACCCCAGTGTGTGCCTCACAGCGCAGAGCCCCGGAGAGCGTTCCAGCCTCCACACCCCATCCTAGCGGCTCCCTCCAGGGCCCAGGGGGTGGAGGGAGTGGGATCCACGGGGGCGCCTGCTTCATCAGGTGTGGCCTGTCCACGGGCTCAACCCCAGGCCCTCCAGCTGCCCACATCCCATGCCCCTCGGCCCGTGGCCCCATGGCCCTGCTGCCCACGGTCCGTGGCCCCCCAGGGCTCACACCCCAACGAGAAAGGCTCCGTGTGCTAGGGCTAGATTGGCCAACGGACTGCAGTCAGCCAGCTCACACCCCAGACAGGCCTCAGGAAGGAGAGAAAACCCTGGCGTTCTGGGCCTGCCACGCTCCCTGAGCTGGACCAAAAGGGGAAAGGAGGAGGTGAGAGAGACAGACCGAGGAGACTGATGCAGAGCCTGCTCTGTGATGACGTGTCGGACAGACAGACGGCACGTGCACACCCAGAACCACGGCCTCGCTCTGTGGCCTGCGATGGCCTGGGGCCTGTGCTCCTCGCAGCAGCCACCTTGGGGTGTGGGGTCAAGGGCTGTTGGCCCACCCTCCTGACCAAGGGAAAGTAGATGAGAACACGGGAAAATCCTCAGAGAAGCTGGAAAGAAGCGCCACTGTGCCTGGAGGCTGAGCGGGTCGGGGCTGTCGTGGTTGTAGGTTTGCCCTCACATCACTGCAGCTGGGGGCAGTGGGCACCGTGTGAGCCTGGTCCCAGTCCCAGGAGCCCCCGTGGAGCAGGCTTGCGAGGAAACAAGGCCGTCTGCTCACCGCAGAGCAGACGGGGGCCCTCCTTGCAGGTGGTTACGCTCTCCCACCAGCTGCGGACCCTCCGGGCCCCTCGGGGACTCCCGAGCGTCTGTCCTTTCCCCCCTTGGGGAGCATCCTCCCCCACGCCCACCCCCCGCGTGGGGACCCGGCGGGGCCTGCACAACAGGTAGCGGCGGCGGCGTTTCCTGTCCCGCGGCAGGATATCCTGGCGCCCTGCAGTCTCTCCCGACTGTTCAGAACAGGCCCAGGCGCCGGAAAGAACCTCGCTCTAAAATTAGCCCCGAGAAGAAAGCGCATGCCGCTCCGGGACTGTTTGTCAACGGAGCGCGTCTAAACAGGGCCCTGTTTCCTCGCTGGGAAAACAGCGGGGGGGCGGGGGGTGACGGCTGGGCCACCAAGGGCAGGGCGGCCACGGAGTCAGGGACGGTGGAAACAGCCCACCTGCCCATCGCTGTCTGAACAGAGCCTGGTCCGACCTTCCAGGGGCTGTATGGCCTGGGACTGCTAAGGGGAGGGCAGCGTGCACCTTCCCTGCCAGGACAGTCCCCAGAGGCTGGGCGGCACACCTTCTTCTTGGGGCCCCACAGGACATCCAGGCTGCATGCCAGTTCTTTTAAAATGCCTGCGTGATTTGGAAATAGCTCTGTCTTGTTCTGAAATAGCAGTTTGCAAGAAACAAGGTTCCATCTTGGTGTGTTCAGGCCCACGGCGTCCCCCTCGTCATCCAAGTGAGAGTCTGCAGGAGGTTTCTTCAGACGCAGTGAGCCGTGTGACTGTCACACTGAACCTGTTTTCAGAATGAAGAGCTTGGTGCTTCTGTTTCTTTTCTGCCACTAACATGTCTCTCTTCCATCCAGCTACTCAGATGTCAGTGTCAGTAAGACCCAGGAAGGCAGTCTCTCTCTCTCTCTCTCTGGCCCTCGTCTCTGAGGGCACAGTGGGCAGAGTGGGCGATTTTCCTAAGTGGGCAGACACCTCATGAAATGTGCGTCTTCACCTGCAGTTTTGTGGAGGGGGGAGGCAGGCAGGGACCAGGAGGTTCTCCTCACCCAGCTCAGGACCACACTTCCCCGCCACACCCATCCCTCATCACCCTGAGCAGGGGCAGCGGGTTTGCAGTCGGGTAAACTGAGGCACGAGCCGGCTCAGGAATTGGCCAGAAGTCACGTTGACAGTGTCAGGACCAGATGCCGTTTCAGCACTTTCCATGAAACTTGGCGTGGGCCGGGGCTGAGTGATCACATCAGCCACAGCGCTCTCACGCGAGGGGGCAGTGACCCTGCAGCCCACGCCGCCCTGCTGATGGCACAGGAGAGCACAGGCTTCCTTCCCTCCGCCCCTCCATTCTCCGCCGTGGGTCCTGCCTCCGTGTGTCAGAGCTTCCTGGGTGCAGTCCTTAAGAACTGTCAGCTGGAAATCCTCTGTTCCTAGAATGTCCGCGTCACACTTCCTGCCTCTCCCCCCGTGGGGTGTCGGGTCTGCACCTCAGCCCCAGCGAGGACCAAGGACAGAGAAGGAAAGGCGGCCGGCTGGGGGCCGGGCCCCCTGTGGCCACATGCAGCGTGGCTTTGCCCAGCCTTGCCTCCACAGCACGTGGATGGAGCATCCCCCTGGCCACCCAGGGAGCAGTGTGGGCTCACCTGCGTGCAAGGAGCCGGGGCTGGGGTCCCACGCATGCTGCGGCTCCCGTTTGCAAACCAGGTGACCCACACCTGCCATAGCAGCGACCACTGTCCCCGACCTGCCTCCTTGTGCATCGCCCCTGTGCCCAGTGATGCAAGAGCCCACACAGCCCCCGACCCTCACGCGCTTGTTGCCCCACGTGCCCCATGGAGTTTAGAAAGGAGCGGGCGCACACCCATCAGCACAAAGCTGCGGGGGGGTGGTCTGTCTTGCTCTCGGCCGCACGATGCGGGGGATGAGCCAGGGGTCACTAAGTGGGAGCCCGTGGCCCCTCCCAGGTCGTCCAGGCCCAGGTCCTCCCCATGGTGCACAGCCCGCCCACCCGCCTGCCCCCAGGTACTCACTCGCCAGCTGGAACGCGGCGGCCATGGCCTCCTCCCAGCATGGGGACTCGGGCGACAGCAGCGGCAGGCCTGCCAGTCCCAGCACGAACGTGAGCTGGCCCGCCGCGAGCGCTGCGGTGGCCACCAGGTTGCAGGCGCGCATCATGTCGAACTGCACTGCGGGGAGAGAGGCGGATCAGTGCGTCCACACCCCGCCCCAGCGTGCCCGCCCTCAGCGGGACAGCATCTGCATCCATGCAGAGACGCTCTGCAGAGCTGTCGGAGGCGTCTGCCGTTCTCTGGTGCCAGGCGGCCCAGCCCCACATGCATGAGCCCGTGCGCCTCCCCAGCCACAGAACGCTCGACGCCACCCCGCCCGGGCTCCCACCCCGCCGGGGCAGGCCTTCCGTGGCAATTTTAATCATCTCAGGAAAGCGTGTTCCTGGTTGGACACATTTCGCACTTTCTGGGCCTGCATTCCGCCTGTGCCCACAAAGGAGAACACGGAGGGTCGGCACACTAACAGAGCTGGGGTCCAGTTCACTGTCATTTCACAGCATCTGGAAATGCCAGCGCTGGCCTGGAGGGGAGCACTGGCGTGCAGGCGCCACGCCCCCAGAGGTGGATGTTATCACCCCCCGGGTGATGGCCCTTACGGGGAGTCTGAGTGACTTGTCTGTGGTCACTCGCAGCCACTGAGGGCTAGAGCCGGATCCACGGCCCTTCTTCCCCCATTCTGCCTCAGCCCTCTGCCCCGTCTGCACAGAGCCAGGACGCCTCCTCTCGTTGCCCCCACCCTGCCCCTGGCACTCTGAGCGAGGTGGGCACACAGGGGTGCTGCCCACAGGGAGTGGAGCTGGCCACGTCTCTGTAGCAGGGAAACCTCTTCCCCCTCAATGAGATCCAAACAGAACCCCAGCTCAGCGGTGATGAAACAGCATTTCGACGGTCCACGCCGATGGTCCACGCCGACGACATTCGTTTATAGGTCTGGTTTACTTTCAAGGCCCACAACACACTGCGAGCCTGTCCAGCAGCAGAGCTGGGACATCAGGGCGCTGCGGGAGAGGAACAGTCTGTGGTGGCCCTCAGCGTCGAGTTGGCTTCTGTAGCGTGTTTTGAAGGAACAGTTTTGAGAAAATCCTGATCCACACCCGGCCCCATGTCTGCTCTTCCTGGGCGTCCCTCTCCCCTCTGGCCCTCATGTGACCGTCACCCGCGTGGCGTCTGCGTACTCCAAGGGATCCAGCTCCCGTGACAGATGTTGCGCAAAGTGGCACCCTTAGCATCTCTGGCTGGGACTCGGGACAGAACCCTGGGACCGTCCACCCCACAGCTCAGACTTCTCAGCTTCCCTGAGAAGTGCTAAGCACGGGTTCCGGGTGCCTGGGAAGACGCGTCGTCTCTGTGAGTGTGCCTGTGTTGTCCGGGGTCCACACCAAGGCCTCACGGGGCTCTCTCTGGGTTTGGTGAGACCCAGGGCAGGTGTGGGCGGGCAGGCTTGGGCTCCTGAGGACCTGACGTGGGAGCAGGCTGTGAGGCCGAGAGGACGCCCTGGACACCCTGGCCTGCGTGCCGAGCCAGTCACCTTCCTGGGCCGCTGGGGACCGAGCCACATGACCTGCAGCCGAAGCTGATGGAGAGAACCTTCTGTTCCCTGAGGAAGTGTTAACTTAGGGCAGCTTCATTTTTATGCTGTGCTGAGTCACGGGAACTTGGGGAACATCCTGTCAGCGGCCAGCATCACCTTTTCAGCCTCGTTCACGAGAAGCTCCTGTTGGCATTTCTGTTGTTTTGAACAGATACTCACTGCTCAGAATCCATGGGGCCACTGCACGTGCGCACTGGGCTAGTAGTGGAGGGGCTTCAAATTGCCCAAGGAGCTCGTATGGTGGCGGGGAGGAAACAGGGCGGGTGGGGACAGATGAGAGCAGGTGGAGACAGGTAAAGGCAGGTAGGGGCAGGTGAGGGCAGGCGGGGACAGATGAGGGCAGGTGGGGACAGGTGAGGGCTGGTGGGGACAAGTGAGGGCAGATGAGTCCCTTGAGGAACTCTGAGGAGGCAGGTAGGCAGGGTACAATGGGCCTTCAGAGGTAGGAAGTCAGGCCTGTTGGGGAGCTCTAATGTGGTCACGGAGAGCTGTCTCAGTTGGTACCTTGGGGACACCTCACACGGAGTGAAAGGGAAGGAGGGGCTGGGCTTTGTGGTGGGAGCCCATGAGAGTTCTGAGTAAGAGGGGAAGGTCTGGTGGTATCCAGGCACGGTTGGCAGGAGACGGCCTGTCCCCTTGGCCTTCGGTGACACGGCCTCAGCCCGTGGACGGCAGGGGTTGGGCAGGAAGGGTTGGTGCACAAGATACCCCAAAGGCAGCGCCTCCTTCCCCCAGATCTGGCTGATGGTGAAAGGTGGAAGCAGGGACTGGAGCCCCGGAGGGGTGGGTGGTCGTGGTGGGTGGACAGACTCAAGGCTGAGGCCGAGGGGCTGAGGGGGCAGGCCGAGCTGGGGGCCAGGTGGGCGCCTTTCCCTCAGGGGGCTCCGGCATCACGTCTCGTCCTGGCCCCGCCCCTCCCACTCTCTCCTGAGACACCTGAATGTTGGGCATACGGGAGACCCGGAGACATGCGTGTGCTCTGACCTCAAACAGGGGGTGTGGCTCCCAGACGGGACAGGGGACCCTCAGCTGGGCAGTGTGTGGTGGCTGGGCTGCGGTGGGCAGGTGGGGCCGGCCCCCTCATGCACCAGGCTGCACTTGTAACCCCATCGCTGCTCCCCTGTGACCTGTGACATGGCATGGCGGTCCCTGCACACGGTCCGTGGGCTTCGCGTCCACAGTGGGCGTAGGACAGGTCTGTGGTCGCCTGTCCCACATGCACACAGCCCCTCGCCGTGCTGTTTTACGGCCTCTGGGAAGCCACCCGAAAGCACCCACAGCCCTGTGCCCAGACGCTTTCTTAGGAAGAGGCAGTTAGGACATCCGCGATGCCGTCGGGTGGCTTGGAAGCCCAGGGTGCCCGGGCCGTCATGGGGCTGCATGATGGTACACATGCCTGCTTAGGCGATGTGGTGCCAGTAACAGGTCCCTCCTGGCTTCCAGAGCAGCCAGGGGGTCCTGCCATGCAATGGGGAGGGGGAGCTGAGGGTCCCCACCTGCCTGCGTCATCCCCACTCCACGCTCCAGCCCCTCCACCTTTGGTCTAAATCAGGCCTCTGTGACCCCATACTGCTCACTGCCTCGGAGACCCCGACAGGTGTGGGAACAGCCCAATTCCGTAAACTCCCTGTGGACTTTACTCCTTAAAAATACGTGTTCTCAGCCGAGACACACGTGTTTCCCTGATGTGAGGAGGACCATCCCCAGGAGGAGCCCCCATCCTCCAGGCCAACCGCTCGGTTGGCGGGGTGGGGCAGGCGGTGGCCTCCAGCCCAGGCCAGAGATCTGAAGGGTCGGCGCACGCCCCCCGCCACGGACCCCGAGACTTACGTTTGACGGTGCCCCGCGCCTCCTGGAAGCCGGCCGCCTCCGAGCCCCAGCTCAGGGCCTCACACTCGTGCTCGTCGGCCAGCGCGGGCTTGGCGCCGGGGCCCGGCCCCCCGCGCGCCCTGTCCGGCAGCCAGCAGGCCCTCCAGAGCCCCACACTGCGCCGGCGCCCATCATCCAGCGTCTGGTGCACCCAGTTGGGAGTGAAGGCCGCCACATTGTTAAGCACCAGGGAGACGAGGGCCACCAGCACGGCCGAGGCCACCAGTTTCTGGATGGTCATTGCCAGCCGCTGCGCTGTCTGCTGCGCAGGAAATCCAAAGTCTGGGCCACTGTGGGGCGCCGAGGGGATCGAGTGGGTGCTGGGAGGCTAGAGGACGTCGCCGCTCATTCTTGGGGCCGCGCGGGGCTCAGCGGGGCCGCGGGGTCCCCACGCTTGATGCCGATCACCCGGCTTCCTGCGCCTGGAGCAGGGCCAGGCCGGTGCAGGGCGCCCTTGCCGCGAGGCCCATCCCGAGGACGCAGGGCGGCGAGGGCCCAGGGTCCTGCACCGTCTTCCCGGGACGTGGGGACGTGGGGACGTGGGCGGCGGCGGCGGCTCTTCTCGCTTGCGGGCAGCAAGGAACAAAGTAACTGGGGAGCTGGCGGCAGGGGTGTCTGTCCCGGCCACACTCCCCAGGCCAGCCTGCTTGTGGGCCACCGCGGAGAGCTGCTGGGACAGGCAGGGGTGCAGCGGGCGGCGGTGACGCCTGTGTCCTCTCCTGGAGTCACCGCCGCGTGGTGCTGGTCCCGGAGGCAGTGGGCCGCCGTGAGGAAGTGTGTGCGCCCTCTTCCCCTGGAAATGATTTTTTTGAGGCTGTTTTTGGTGAGCTGAGGGCGTAGCCAACTGCAACAAACAGCAGCCCTGCCGGCCAGACACGGACAGGATGTGCTTCCTGGGAGGAAGTGCCGGCGCCTCGCGAGGCTGCCCGCTCCTGCCCCTCGGGGCCCCCGCACGCAGGTTCCAGAGCCCACCCCTCAGGGGGCCCCCGCGCACACAGGTTCCAGAGCCCACCCCTCAGGGGGCCCCCGCGCACACAGGTTCCAGAGCCCACCCCTCAGGGGGCCCCCGCGCACACAGGTTCCAGAGCCCACCCCTCAGGGGGCCCCCCCGCACACAGGTTCCAGAGCCCAGCGCTCGCTCCCAGGTCCTGCACGCCGTCCAGCGGCCACCCAGGAGACACAGGGCGCCCCACGCGTCAGGCCTGCCCTGGTCTGCCGTCACCTCGCGGGCAGGCTCTGAGCCACCTGCATGGACCATCGGTCCTGAGGAGGCTGCAAACTGATTGCTTGAGGGTCCCCTGGTTAGAGTTTTCCATCAGAGCCTGAGTGTCTGTCTGCCCCCTACCCTGGTGCACACAAAGTCCCTGTGTCTGTTCCCATCCCCTCTGCCCACCTCCCCGGGTCAGCTTCCCTGCACACTGGTCTGTCCACTCTCACATACCCCGTGTTAGCCCAGAGATGTCCCAGGCCCCACATCCCCCATGTCAACCCAGAAACACCCCCAGCCCCCCATGCCCCGTGTTGGTCCAGGGATGCCCCAGGTCCCCACACCCCCCACGTTGACCCAGGGATGCCCAGGCACCCCACACCCGACTGCCCGTGGTCCCTCGTGGGGGCTCTCTGGCCATCCTAAGTGCCCGGGGCCAGGGCTGCCTGGAGAAGGCATTTCCCCAGAGCTCCCAGAAGAGTTTCCGTCCCTTCCACTATTCAGTGACGTCACTTGTCCATGAGTACTTTGAGTGGCTGATTTCCACATGAAGGACATGGGTCCGGACCCAGAGGACATGCTGCCCGCGCCCCAGGAGGAGCCCCTGCCTAGCCCTTCCCTCCCTTTGCTTAGGCCGGCGGGGGCCAAGCCAAACTGAGCCCTGCTCCTGGTCAACCCGTTCCAGAGCCCCCCACACAGGGGACAGCCCAAGGTCCCCCCATTGCCCTGGGGGGCCACTTCCTTGTGGCAGTCCTGCCCGGGTGTGAGACCCCCAGGAGGTCCCGCGTTGCCCCCATACACACTCTTAGGCAGGTCTTGCCAGTGGCCACTGGGTCCCTGGTTCCAGCCCACGGTGCAGTGGGAGGCTGGGCCATGGGGACACAGGCCCAGGAGCCGACCAAGCCAGGAGGGGCCCTTCTGCAGACATGACCCTGCCCTCAGGCAGGACCGCTGCCCCCACGTCGTCCTTGTGACTGGGGACACCGAGGGGCTTCAGTGGACACTGCCCTCTCTCTGTGTCAAGGCCTGACTGACCGGGCCAGCCTCGTCTCCTGCCCGCATGTCTGCTGTTAGAGGACAGAGGACGACGTGGTGGCTGGTCCCCTGTGTGCCGTGTGCACGGTCGGACACCAACGCCATCCTGCAGGTGCTGGTGGCCCTGACTGGGGAGGGATCTCCGTGCCGCAGCTCAGAGGGGCCCACATGGCCAACAGTTGGGCAGAGAACAGATTCTTCCAGAAAGCCAGGTCCATCCCCCGCTGCCCCATCTGCATCTCATTTGCAGCCCCCGCAGGCTTGATGAGGTGCAGATGGGAGTTACTGCAGACTGCTCGTCCGGGAACAGGAAGTTTGCTGAGGTGGACAGAGACTCACGGGGTGTCCATGTCCTGAGCTTGGGCACTCTGTGGGGGATGCCTCAGGGATGGCTGTGGGCCTGTAGGTGCTCCAGTCCTTGTCTAGAAACGTCCCTTAGTTCTGAGCCGGCTGGGTGAAGCAGGCCACCCTCCCCTTGGTCCACCCCTGACAGCTTGGCCCATGGGTCCCCCGTCCACCCTTGTTCTTGTGCCTCAGAGCGCCTCTCAGCCCTTCCTCATTCCCTGCCCACGCCTGTCCTCGTGCGCCTCAGAGCGCCTCTCAGCCCTTCCTCATTCCCTTCCCACCCCCGTCCTCCCGCCTCAGAGCGCCTCTCAGCCCTTCCTCATTCCCTTCCCACCCCCGTCCTCCCGCCTCAGAGCGCCTCTCAGCCCTTCCTCATTCCCTTCCCACCCCCGTCCTCCCGCCTCAGAGCGCCTCTCAGCCCTTCCTCATTCCCTGCCCACCCCCGTCCTCCCGCCTCAGAGCGCCTCTCAGCCCTTCCTCATTTGGCGGTGTGAGTTCCTGGGGAGAAGACAGGTTGCAGCACCCTGTTGCTCTGGGGGCAGAGTCCTCTGCCGCTCATATGCACATGGCTTGTCCTGGTTTTAGCCCTGGGATGGACCCCCTAGGGCCAGCCTGTCTGTCGGGGAGACACATGGCTGGGGCACACATGTAGCTACACCACGCCCATAGGGAGAGGCCCGAGGCTCCCTCCCAGGCCTCTCTGTCCGTCAGAGAATGTTTGTGTCAGTCAGCAGCTGACGTTGCACCTGCGGTGCTCGGTGTGCCTCCTTGCCCAACCTGAGGACAGAGCGGGAAGGACTGGGGTCGTTGGTTCTCTGCTCCGTACAAAGGCAGGACTTGAGGGCCGAGAACGTGGTTTCTTGCTTGTAGCTGCTGGACAAGCAAGTGGAAGGAGGACACCAGCGTTCCTGAGCCCGACTCTGGCCTGTGACCCGCTCTGCATGCGCCTGAACGGCTCAGACGTGCCTGGACGGTGCCGGTGCTGTGGGCATGTTAAACTGAGTGGGTGCTGGGGCGCTTGCGACCCCAGGGTGACAGCTCCTCATCTCAATTCTTCGTCCAGAAGACAGAGGTGGCTCATCCGGCCCCCTCGAGAAAGGGCAGCGTGGGTATGGCGAAGGGCGTTGGTGCTCCAGAGTGGGCCGGCAGAGTGGTGTGTTCGCCCTGTGTCCCGAGATCACCGGTCTGTGTGGGCTCGGTGCTTGAGGAGCCCAGTGTGGGGCCCAGCAGTGTCGGGGAGGGAAGTCTCTCCACTGCAGGGGCTTGGAATAGAGGTTGTAAAGTGTGTGACATGCACACACTCCACAGGCACAGGTGCACATACACAGGCATGTGTGCACACATGGGCACACGTGTACACACTCATAATGCACACAGGCACATACATGGGCACATACGTGTGCACACATGGGTACATGTACACGCTCACGCACGCACACCCATATACACAGGCACACTCACACAAGCACATACACAGACAGGCACGTGTGTGCGTGCATGGGCACACACACGTACATGCTCATACCTGTACACACACCCCATACACAGGTGCACACACATGTATGCATACACAAGCACACACGCGACCCCCACAGCAGCCCGGCCCACGCCGCAGGGGCTGACCGCACGCGTTGCACAGAACGGGAGCGCTGCGTCTCCTCGGGCCTCGCTCACAGGCCGCAGCCATGGGGGGTGGGCGCACCAACACAGCATCCGCCCGCCCGTGCCGCCTCGTAGCGTGCGCCTGGCACAGAATATAGGTCCTTCTAGCAGGACCCCAAAACGCCGTCAGTGTTGGGGATACACGTGCTGACGGAGGACCCCAGCTGCAGAGACGCACGGCACCCATCCACGATACCCGGGTCCCAGCACGGCATGTCTGATTCCAGTGCACCGAGGACCCGAGGGAGTAGGCTACCACTGTCGCCCACAGGGGACGGGACCGCAGCTGTGCTTGCTCACGAGACCCCCACTCTGTGTGCACCCCGCCTTTCCACTCACTGGATGCTGGGAGAGGTTCCGGTAGTGAGCAGATGGGAGGGAGGTGGCCGCCCACCCTGACCACTGCCGTGCCTTTGTCTGAGGACGGCCTGGGCGGGAGCAGCCGTGGAAGGCGAGGGGAGGCCACCCGGGGACGGGCTCTGCCGGCTCCGCTCTGCCCTGCTCGGGGCTGCCCCTGCGTCACACCCCTGGGCTGCCTCATCCTCGGGGTGTGCAGTGAGTGTGTCCCTATGTGTGCGCACGTGCACATCGTGTGTGTGAGTGCACGCGTGTGTGTACATGGGTGAGGATGTTTCCCGTGAGTGAGTGTGTGCGGCACTGTTGGTGGCAGTAGTAACAGGAAGAGGTACGTGAGGTAGACAGAGAGAATCCGGGAGGAAACTGTGTTTCTCTTGCTCCCTCCCCGTTAGCCATCACACTGAGCTGTCTGTTTGAAAGGCCTCTTTGTCCAGAGTGGTGGGCTCAGCATCTGCATCTGAGGACCAGGCCTAGCAGCGTCCAGAGTGGCCGGGTGCTGAGGGAGGACGAGTGCCCTCGGATGGAGGGGCTGGAGGCGCACCGTTTCCCCTGGGGCCTGTCCACACGATGCGCCACCTGCCCGCGAGCCCCGTGCCGTCCTGGTCCCCCGCCAGCCTCACACCAAGTCAAGCAGAGGATTCCAGGCAGAAGCCTGGGTCAGCACCGCGAGGGCGAGGTGCGTGTGAGCGTGTCAGAGAGGCGTTCAAAGACAAAAGACAGCACTGCTGCCCATGAGGCCGCGTGCACCGTGGTGGGGCTCACCCACGTCTGCCTGTTCTGTGAGCGTGTCAACGGCCACGTTCTTGACCTCATGAGGCCACCTGTGTGGGTGAGGGGTGAGGAGAAGGCATCACAGATGGGGTCAGCCCGTCCTCATGGTCCCAGGGCCTAGTCGGGTTTGAACCAGCCTGTCCAACTCCCCCGCCTGCACTGTCCCCAGACCCTGGCATGTGCTGAGGGAGACTGAGGCCCCGGGAGATCTCACCCCATGCGCGGATGCCGCCCTCTGACTGGGGGTGGGAGGCGATCACGGCCCCTTCTCCCCACGGAGCCCGCCGTTCGGGGGGGCTGAGTAGGAGCTTCCACACATCTCCTGCTCAGGCCAGAAGCAGGAGGCGCTGCCATTGACACAGCTCTGTGTGTGTGTGTGTGTGTGTGTGTGTAGTGTGAGTGTACATGTGAGGCTGTATGTAGTATTGTGTAAGAGAGTATACATGTGTGACTATTTGTGAGTGTGTACGTGACTGTATGGTATATGTGTGAGAGACTCTATATAGTGTGTATGAAAGTATACGTGTGTGACTGAGTAGGTATTTGTGAGAGCGTGTGTATATATATGACTCTGTAGTGTGCGTATGAGAGACTAGTGTGTGAGTGCAAGTGTGTGTATAAACGTATGTGACTATAGTATTGGAGCGTATGTGAGAGACTGTAGTGTGTGTGTGCGTGTGTATGTGAGACTTACAGTGTGTATGAGCACGAGAGTGATTGTAGACATGACTATAGTCTGAGTGTGAGAATGTGTGTGTGCTTATGTGGCTGTGTGTATAGCGAATGTATAGTGTGTGAATGTGTATGTATGTGACTGCGTATAGTGAGTGTACGTGTGCATATATGGCTGTGTATGTATAGCGAGTATGTGTATAGTATTACATGTTTGTGTAGTATGTGAGTGCATACATATGTGAACGGTATAGTGAGTGTGTGTGTGGTGTGTGTGTACATATGTGATTGTATGTGTAGTATGTGCGTGCATACATATGCGACTGTATAGTGAGTGAGTGTGTGTGGCTGTATATGTGGTGTGTGTGTACATATGTGACTGTGTACTCATATGAGAAAGTGCTTGTGTGACCATGTGTATACGGTGTATGAAATAAGGAAAAGTGGGTGTTTGATGGGCTGGAGGAGGAATAGAAGACACAACAGGAGCCGAAGTTTGCCTGTCTGGACAGGACAGCTGTATCTTTGACCCCCTCCTCCAAGGTCTGCAGGGCTGTAGGGGGGACCTGGTGGAAAAGGCAGGGTCCATACGCCCCAGGCTGCAGAAGCAGTGACAGTGGCACCCACGCATGCCCCAGAAGCACCACGTGAGCTCTGAGACACACCCCCAGGGGCCTCACCTCTGAGTCCTCTCAGGGAGAGGAGCAGTGACAGCGGGTTTTCGGTCTGCCGTGTGGTGGGATGCAGGGTGGGAAGGGTCTAAGCATTGCCCAGTACACCCCTTCCTGGCCTGGTGTGTTTGTGGAGCGGAGGGAGGGGGGACATGCAGCCGTGAGTACTCCATGACCACCCAACAGCTACCCTGTCCCACAGTGAGGCCGTCTGGGAGAACATGGCACGCATGTGTGTGAAGACCCAGAGGCTAGATGTGGCCCGCGTGTGCCTGGGGAACATGGGCCACGCCCGCGGAGCCCGTGCCCTGCGGGAGGCCGAGCAAGAGCCCGAGCTGGAGGCCCGTGTAGCCATGCTGGCCGTGCAGCTGGGCATGCTGGTGAGTGGATGGGCAGACAGACACAACTGCCCAGGGCAGGGATGGCAGAGGTCATGGCTGGGAGGGCCCAATCGGAGTCAAGGAGACAGGCTAGTTTAGAAGTTAGTCTCTGTCTCTGTCTCTCTCTCTCTCCCTCTGTCTTCTCCTCTGTCTGTCTCTGTCTCCCTCCTTTTTCTGCAGACACCTGGTGTCGTTGCCCTGGCCATGCATGGTGTCCCGTGCGCCGTGTGTTGTGATCCTTGCCTGTTCTTGTCCTTGCTCATCCTCATCCTTGCCTGTTCTCATCCTTGTCTTTGCCTGTTCTCGTCCTCGTGTGCTCCGTGTCTTTGTCATGGGCCCACCCTCCCCGCCCAGCCATGTGGCCTCTGACGCTGGCCCCATGTTCTGCAGGAGGATGCTGAGCGGCTATACAAGAAGTGCAGGCGCTATGACCTCTTGAACAAGTTCTACCAGGCTGCAGGCCAGTGGCAGAAGGCCATGGAGGTGGCTGAGCGGCACGACCGTGTCCACCTGCGCACCACCTACTACAACTACGCCAAGCACCTGGAGGCCAGCGCCGATTGCAACCTGGCCCTCAGCTAGTGAGCAAAGACAGGAAGGAGATCTGGGGGCCTGGGGACATGGCATACGGCCACTTCAGCCTCGTCTCTGACATTTCCAGTCTGCCCCTCCACCTGGGCTGGGGTGCGGCACCTTCGAGGTGCAGAGTGGGATCTTGGGCTGGTGGGGGCCCCATTGCGGGGGCTTCTGAGGGAGCATGCGTTGGTAACACTGGGGACTCGGGAGACGGGCCACCCCTCCTATGAGCTGACCTAGCCTCGGTTTTCCACATGTGTTAAAGAGGTGCACCTTCCCCGAGGCCTGGCGTCAGCTGTGCGGACTAATGCCGTCACGCTGGTTGGGGGGACCTGTGAGGACAGGCGTGCCAGCATTGTCAGGCAGCACACTCACATGGCACTAACCCCGCCACTGACTGGACCTTCCCAGATGGGGCTGTCCCTGCTCAGACCCTGTGACGGGGTACATGTTGGGAGCGCAGAGAGGTGGCCCCCACAGCCATCCACAGGGGCCACAGGGACCCCTGCCACCGCGACCGTGGCCCTGACCACCACCCAACCACAGCCTGGACGTGTCCCGAGGCACAGCAGCTCCCAGGTGCTTGGCTCTCAAGGACTGAGGCCTCTGTCTCCCCCCGCACGCCCCCAGCTACGAGAAGTCAGACACCCACCGCTTCGAGGTGCCCCGGATGCTGGCGGAGGACCTGCAGTCCCTGGAGCTCTACGTCGACAAGATGCGGGACAAGTGAGCACAGGCTGCCTTGGGGAGGGAGGTGGAGGGAAGTGGGGGTGGAGGGAGGGAGGTGGGCAGTGGGCTCAGGGCCCCCGGCTGCCCGCAGGACCCTGTGGCGGTGGTGGGCGCAGTACCTAGAGAGCCAGGCGGAGATGGACGCAGCGCTGCGCTACTACGAGCTAGCGCAGGACTACTTCTCGCTGGTGCGCATCCACTGCTTCCAGGGCAACACCCAGAAGGTGAGTGCCTCCTGGGGGCTGCCGGCTGGGGAGCCTGGGGGGCAGCCTGGTGCTGTCTCTGCATGTGGGGAGCCTGGGGGGCAGCCTAGTGCCGTCTCTGCATGTGGGGAGCCTGGGGGGCAGCCTGGTGCTGTCTCTGCAGGTGGGGAGCCTGGGGTGGAGCCTGGGGGG